TTAGATATATAAATAGGGACGTAGAAGGCACCTCGAACTCACACAACAATAACTTTCACCACACAAGAATTTCCAAAGATTCCCAAAGGAGAAATCAAGAAAGAAGAAATCTTAAAGAAAAATTCTTCATAGCCAAGGAATTTAATTAAGGCTAAGAGGTAACCCATATCTCAACAAAACCTATTTTCCTTGCTATAATCTCCTTCTTTGGCTCCCTCTATATACTTGTGTCTTGATGAATTCCTTTATGATAATCGTGATATAATCTTATTTGATTGATGTGATGATTTTATATGTGATCTTGATGATCTTGATATTAAAAAGAGGTTCTTGATAGTTATGTGATGATTCTTGATAAATCTTGATGTTTCTTGATGTTAGAGATAAAATAAGGTCTTGATAATTTGGATGGGAATTAGAGCCCTACGTTGGATTGGGAAATTGTATTGGGATGTTCTTGATTTATATTTGGGTGGGAATTCGCATGTTCGGGTGTTGTTATGTTTAGAAGTCATGTTAGGATGTGTTCAATATGATTCTTGCTTTTTAATCCGTTAATTGCCTATGTGCTGTCGTTATTTGTGTTTAAAAGTATCTAAGCATGGTTTCGGGTTCCACAAAGGATCCCGGGACGCATTACTAGATGAAAGAGTCAGTGGGGGGTAGGAGGACCTGCCACCTACCCGCTGCCTGAGAATCACCGCCAGGCAGCGGGCAGACGTCTGCCCGCCGGCCACCCGCTGCCCGGAAGATCGTCGCCGGCGGGTGGCCCTCCACCCACCGGCTACCCGCTGGTATGTTACCCACCCCGGGTTCTCGGCTTCCCCGTTTGATGTTCCCCATTCCCTGTGGTGCCCCAACGGACCCCGTTTGTCGTGCTTGAGTCTAGTTTGATGTTTCGGGTGCCATTCGTAGGATAAAAGAGTCTTAGGAATTGCATGCTAGTGAATCGGTAACCCGTTGGCCTAGGAGGAGAATGCATGAACCCCTTAGGACTACTCTTAGTATGTGAATGACCACACGTAAGTTTATTTATACGTCTCCCCCTTCCTAATGTGCTATTATGTGCTACAATGAGTTATGTGATGCATGATTCCCCAATTTGGTTGCGATCAAATTGGGTGTTCCTGAGCTGCAGTTCGGAAGTTGGCTGCGGTCAAATTGGTTACTTATGAGCTGCGGTTCATTTTCCTGGCTACTATCAGTGATTCACTTCTTGGGCTGCAGCCCACATGGGCCTCGTGTGCGGATGGTCCACCGACTGGACGCACCAGCGGTGTGTAGGGCCACCAGCCTGAGGAAGGCCATAGCCCACCGAATGAGTGAGCAGGCGGTGTGTAGGGCTATGGTCGGCTACAATCCACCGAGTGAAGGGCCAGCGGTGTGTAGGGTCGTAGTCTCCGAGGATCATCGCCCACCGACTGAGTCCCTCAGCGGTGTGTAGGGCTTGATTCGCTACGATCCATCGATTGTGCTCGTCAACGGTGTGTAGGGTCGTAGTCCCCAAAAGAGGATCGCAGTCCACCGACTGAGCGCGTCAGCGGTGTGTAGGGCTGTGATCCGCCGTCGAACTATCGGCGGTCTATACGGTTGGTTGCGATCAACCCCTTCATGCTGCGGTGTGAGGTAGGGTGCTGCGGGGCCGTGTTAGTGCTATATGCACTAACCCTCATTTCGGGGCATGCGATTGGTCTCGTGGCGCCACCAAAGTGTGCTCGCGTGACTTGAATGATGATGGGAATGGTTGGAAAGTGAACTGTGACCTTAGATACATGTTCTTTATGATGTTGTCTCGATATAACTGTTTATCATTGTTGAATATGCTTATCCCTACTTGTCGAGTCTATCCCTGATTTTAAAGCTAGAGTCCCCTAAGTATATATCTTCCTGCTTCAAAATGGTTTTTGTATATCTATATATATACTTATCTATATTGTATTTCAACGCGTTGGAGTGGGTTACCAGCATCATTCGCTGAACAGATATATTTGACTTTCAGGCACAGATGAGTAGACCCCGGAGCGCGCTAGAGATCCGGAGCATAGATTAGTTAGTTTCCCTTTCGGCCTGCGTGCCATGATTATGTATTGACATTGCTTTGAGGATATTTAGTTAGTTTAGCCTGTGCATCTCAGTTCTCCAGCTCAGATGTGGCATAGCACCCCGTACTCTTATGTTTGATTTTGGGATTTAATGAGAATTCACCTTCATTATATAAGTTTTAAAAGTTTCAAAATTTTGGGGTGTTACAGTTGGTATCAGAGCCTAAGTTTGACCCTAGGGTAAGACTCTTAAGACCATATTTTAGGACATTAGGCTTAAACTCTAGGAGTTCAGGAACATAGGATTTAGGGATCATAGGACGCGCAGTGAGATTGTGAGACCCCTAAACTTGCCCTCACCCTAATTCGCACTTAATTTAAAAGAACTTCCCCTACACTCATAGCATCAAGGTAAGGATGCAAAATATTATCGGCCTATGAACCCCCAGGATGGCACCGACAAGGAAATAGGCAAAAGCACCGGGACTCCCCACACAAGAATCCTTGATTCAGAATCTGCTACGCCTGGCCCAAGTTGCCCAGACACTAAGCAACACAGTCCTCCAACCTTCACCACCAAACAGAAACTTGGAAATCCACCGCCAAATCTCGAAACACCGACCGCCTACCTTCTCAGGGGATGAAAACCCCACAATTCTCGAAGAATGGATCGGAACCTTTGACAGAATATTCAGAGCAACGGGATGCCCGGAAAATCACCAAGTAGAAACGACCTCCTTCTACTTCAGGCACGAAGCCGACATCTGGTTGGTCCACGAGATACCCAATCGCGAACAAAGCCCGGGGTTCAACTGGGAGACCCTAAAGACACGATTACGGGAACAATTCTACCCCAGTCACATGAAAACAACCATACACGAAGAATTCCTCCATCTAAAACAAGGAGCGATCCCAATCGCAGAATACTACCGGCAGTTTCGCAAGCTAGCTCGCCTCACACCCGAACTGGTACCTACAGAGTCAATCAAAATCGAGAAATTTATAACGGGCCTCAACCTCGAAAACCAGAAGGCTCTAACCATACGAAAACCAAGAACTCTCGAAGAAGCATATGCCAAAGCATTTCAACTACAACAAATACCAAGCAAGCCACAGGAGACGCACCTGGGACACAAAAGAAAAATTGAAGGAAATCACGCAAACCCCCCCAAGAGCCAAAAACCGCCAGGGCCACCTCACCCCACAAAGCCATAACACCAGCCACTCAAGGAAGGATCCTTACCCTAAGCAAAGCCAAAATCGGAGATAGCAACATAATCTCCGGAACCTTCCTCATACACACCACCCCCGCCACCGTACTATTTGACTCGGGAGCTACCAACTCATTTATAGCAGCCGAATTCGCCACATGACTCGGTCTGAACACCAACACAAGCAAGTCAAGGTAGCGTCCGGCGAAATCATAAAATGTGACCGCATGTACAAAGACATAATGATAACCATCGAAGGAGTGGAATTCCCTAGCAACCTAATACAATTCAGACTAGATGGGATACAAGTGATCTTGGGCATGGACTGGCTAGGGAAATTCCAAGCGCAAATCCTATGCGGCGAACAAAAAGTGGTATTGCGGGGACTAAACGGCAAACGGGTATCCTACCACGGAACCCACAAGAACCCAGAAATCAAATTAGTAAACATGATGAAAATGAAGAGATATCTGACCCAGGGGCACGAAGCCTTCCTATGCTCAGTCAAAGATCTCGACACCAAAATAGCCGAACCCCAAACCATTCCAGTGGTAAACGAATTCACCGATGTCCTCCCAGACGAGATCCCCGGAGCACCCCCAACCGGAGAAGTCGAATTCACCATAGATTTGATGCCTGGCGCTACCCCAATCTCGAAGCCACCCTACAGACTGGCGCCAAAAGAAATGAAGGAACTGAAAGCACAACTTCAGGAGTTACTAGATAAAGGATACATACGCCCCAGCACCTCACCATGGGGAGGACTAGTGCTATTCGTCAAGAAGAAAGATGGGAGCATGCGTCTATGCATCGATTACAGGGAACTAAATCAAGTTACAATAAAGAATAAGTATCTTCTTCCCCGAATTGATGACTTGTTCGACCAACTTAAAGGAGCAGGGGTGTTCTTGAAAATTGATTTAAGATCCGGGTACCATCAGATAAAAGTGGCCGACCCAGATATTCAGAAAACGGCCTTTCAAACCCGCTACGGCCACTACGAATTCACGGTAATGCCCTTCGGACTCACCAATGCACCCGCTAAATTCATGGACCTCATGAACCGAGTATTCCGGCCCCACCTAGATGACTTTGTCATCGTGTTCATCGACGACATCCTGGTCTACTCCCGAAACAAGGAGGAACATGAAAAGCACCTCCGCACAACCTTGCAAACCCTGAGGGAACACCAGCTATACGCCAAATTCTCCAAATGCGAATTTTGGAAGGACAACGTGGCCTTCCTGGGTCACGTGATAACCAAAGAGGGGATCAGGGTGGACCCAACCAAAATCCACGCCGTCAAAGAATGGCCCGCACCGAAATCACTTTCGGAGGTCAGAAGCTTCCTAGGGTTAGCAGGCTACTATAGGAGGTTCGTACCCGATTTTACCAAGATAGCCCAACCCCTCACTAAGCTCATGAAAAAGGAAACCCCCTTTCGATGGGACGACAACTGCACCTCAGCCTTTCAAGAATTGAAAGAGAAGATGACCACAGCACCCGTCCTAGCCCTTCCCTCTAGAGTGGAAGGATTCGAAGTTTTCAGCGATGCCTCCAAAAAGGGACAGGGATGCGTACTAATACAAAGGGGCAAAGTAATAGCATACGCATCCAGGCAACTCAAAACCCACGAAGAAAACTACCCCACACACGACCTCGAGCTAGCTGTCATCGTGTTCGCCCTGAAAATTTGGAGGCATTACCTATACGGAGTGCAATGCAAGATTTATACAGATCATAAAAGCCTAAAGTACATCTTCACCCAGAAGGATCTAAAAATTGCGACAACAAAGATGGCTGGAACTTATAAAATATTATGACCTAGATATTCAGTACCAAGAGGGGAAAGCTGACGTCGTGGCAGACGCCCTAAGCCGAAAGAATAATCACTCCCTCAACACCACCTGGATCTTGTCAGACGAGCTATGCAAGGACTTCTAAAGGTTGAATTTGGAGGTAGTAGAGCAAGGACAAACAAATTCTAAAATCCACCTATTCAATGTCAGAATCATACCCACACTACTCGAAGAAATCAAAGCCGGGCAGCAGCAAGACCCAGAACTAGATAAAATACGGCTCGACCTAACTCAGGGAAATGACGGACCATTCAAAATATACGAAGATGGTAGCCTCCGCTATCAAGGAAGATGGTGCGTACCCATGACACACCCCCACCTAAAACAACAAATCTTGGAAGAAGGACACAACTCACCATACTCAGTGCATCCCGGAGGCGACAAACTATACCAAGATGTGAAAAAGATGTTTTGGTGGCCCAACATGAAAAAGGAAATCGCAGACTTCGTGGGCAAATGTCTAAACTGCCAAAGGGTAAAGGCCGAACGATGAAAACCCAAAGGACTCGTACAACCCCTTGAGATACCACAAGGAAAATGGGACTCCATATCCATGGACTTTGTTGGAGGATTACCCACAACACCAACAGGCAAAGATAAAATCTGGGTAATAGTGGACCGGCTAACCAAGACAGCACGGTTCATTGCCATGAAAGAAACATGGACAATGACACAACTAGCCAAGGCCTACCTAAACTGAGTAGTGAAGTACCACGGAGTCCCCCGAAACATTATGTCCGATAGGGATCCCAGATTCCTCTCACAATTCTGGAAGTCTCTACAAATAGCCATGGGGACACGGCTGAACCTAAGCACTGCCTTCCACCCCACTACCGACGGTCAAACCGAGAGAACCATTCAGACTCTCGAAGATATGCTAAGAGCCTGCATGTTAGACTTGCAGGGGACATGGGAAGAACACCTAGACCTCATCGAATTCTCTTACAACAACAACTATCACGCAAGTATCCGCATGGCTCCCTACGAAGCATTGTACGGCAAAAAATGCAGAACACCCTTATGTTGGGAAGACATGGTCAGTCCAGTGGCACTAAGAATGAGGGCCGCCCAAGACCGCCAAAAATCTTACGCCGACCTAGGAAGAAAACAAGCCGAATTCGCCACCGGGGAAAAAGTCTGGCTAAGAATCTCGCCAACACGAGGGGTGATGAGATTCGGAAGAAAGGGGAAACTCAGCCCCCTGTTTATCGGCCCCTACGAAATCATAGGAAAAGTCAGGAACTTGGCCTACCGCCTCGCCCTACCAATCGAACTGGAGCGAGTACACAACGTATTCCACATATCCCAACTAAAGAAATATATACACGATCCAAGCCACGTGCTACAACCCGAGGCCGTGGACCTTGACGACGCACTAACTTACGAAGAGAAACCCGTAAGGATCCTGGACACCAAAACAAGAACCACCCGCCGGTGAACCATAGAAATGGTAAAAATCCTCTGGACCAACCACGGGGCAGAAGAGGCAACATGGGAACTCAAAGACACGGTGAATGAACGCTACCCCGAACTCTTCACACAAGGTAACCAAGGCGAAAACATTGGATAAGGGGAGAGGTCAACTCAGCAAAGACCAAAGCTTCGGGGACGAAGCTTCCCATTAAGGGGGGGGGGGGGGGGAGAGTGTAACACCCCGTGTTACAGCCTTTAAACCAATTAATTATTTAATCATTTACCCAAAAAGAAAGAATTAAATTTCATTAATTAATTAGGAAGAGTCCACCATAAGCCCATGAACCCTTATCCCTAAAACCAATCCCTTAGTCCTATAGGAAATAGAATTAGCAAACCCATACCATTTAGACCCTAATTAGGACTCTTAGATATATAAATAGGGACGTAGGAGGCACCTAGAACTCACACCACAATAACTTTCACCACACAAGAATTTCCAAGGATTCCCATAGGAGAAATCAAGAAAGAAGAAATCTTAAAGAAAGATCCTTCATAACCAAGGAATTTAATTAAGGCTAAGATGTAACCCATGTCTCAATAAAACCTATTTTCCTTGCTATAATCTCCTTCTTTGGCTCCCTCTATATACTTGTGTCTTGATGAATTCCTTTATGATAATCGTGATATAATCTTATTTGATTGATGTAATGATTTCATATGTGAACTTGATGATCTTGATATTAAAAAGAGGTTCTTGATACTTATGTGATGATTCTTGATAAATCTTGATGTTTCTTGATGTTAGAGATAAAATAAGATCTTGATAATTTGGATGGGAATTAGAGCCCTAGGTTGGATTAGGAAAATGTATTGGGATGTTCTTGATTTATATTTGGGTGGGAATTCGCATGTTCGGGTGTTGTTATGTTTAGAAGTCATGTTAGGATGTGTTCAATATGATTCTTTCTTTTTGATCCGTTAATTGCCTATGTGGTGTCGTTATTTGTGTTTAAAAAGTAACTAAGCATGGTTTCGGGTTCCACAAAAGATCCCGGGACGCGTTACTTGATGAAAGAGTCAGTGGGGGGTAGGTGGGGGTAGGGGGACCCGCCACCTACCCGCTGCCCGAGAATCACCGCCAGGCAGCGGGCAGCCGGCGGGCAGACGTCTGCCCGCCGGCCACCCGCTGCCCGGAAGATCGTCGCCGGCGGGCAGCCGGCGAGTGGCCATCCACCCACCGGCTACCCGCTGTTCTGTTACCCACCCCGGGTTCTCAGCTTCCCCGTTTGATGTTCCCCATTCCCCGTGGTGTCCCAACGGACCCCGTTTGTCGTGCTTGAGTCTAGTTTGACGTTTCGGGTGACATTTGTAGGATAAAAGAGTCTTAGGAATTGCATGCTAGTGAATCGGTAACCCGTTGGCCTAGGAGGAGAATGCATGAACCCCTTAGGACTACTCTTAGTATGTGAATGATCACACATAAGTTTATTTATACGTCTCCCCCTTCCCAATGTGCTATTATGTGCTACAATGTGTTATGTGATGCATGATTCCCCAATTTGGTTGCGATCAAATTGGGTGTTCATGAGCTGCGATTCAGAAGTTGGCTGCGGTCAAATTGGTTACTTATGAGCTGCGGTTCATTTTCCTGGCTGCGGTCAGTGATTAACTTCTTGGGCTACTGCCCACATGGGCCTCGTGTGCGGATGGTCCACCGACTGGACGCGCCAGCGGTGTGTAGGGCCACCAGCCTGAGGAAGGCCATAGCCCACCGAATGAGTGATCAGGCGGTGTGTAGGGCTATGGTCGGCTACGATCCACCGAGTGAAGGGCCAGCGGTGTGTAGGGTCGTAGTCTCCGAGGATCATCGCCCACCGACTGAGTCCCTCAGCGGTGTGTAGGGCTTGATTCGCTACGATCCACCGACTGTGCTCGTCAATGGTGTGTAGGGTCGTAGTCCCCAAAAGAGGATCGCAGTCCACCGACTGAGCGCGTCAGCGGTGTGTAGGGCTGTGATCCGCCGTCGAACTATCGGCGGTCTATACGGTTGGTTGCGATCAACCCCTTCATGCTGCGGTGTGAGGTAGGGTGCTGCGGGGCCGTGTTAGTGCTATATGCACTAACCCTCATTTCGGGGCATGCGATTGGTCTCGTGGCGCCACCAAAGTGTGCTCGCGTGACTTGAATGATGATGGGAATGGTTGGAAAGTGAACTGTGACCTTAGATACATGTTCTTTATGATGTTGTCTCGATATAACTGTTTATCATTGTTGAATATGCTTATCCCTACTTGTCGAGTCTATCCCTGATTTTAAAGCTAGAGTCCCCTAAGTATATATCTTCCTGCTTCAAAATGGTTTTTGTATATCTATATATATACTTATCTATATTGTATTTCAACGCGTTGGAGTGGGTTACCAGCATCATTCGCTGAACAGATATATTTGACTTTCAGGCACAGATGAGTAGACCCCGGAGCGCGCTAGAGATCCGGAGCATAGATTAGTTAGTTTCCCTTTCGGCCTGCGTGCCATGATTATGTATTGACATTGCTTTGAGGATATTTAGTTAGTTTAGCCTGTGCATCTCAGTTCTCCAGCTCAGATGTGGCATAGCACCCCGTACTCTTATGTTTGATTTTGGGATTTAATGAGAATTCACCTTCATTATATAAGTTTTAAAAGTTTCAAAATTTCGGAGTGTTACACCCCTTCACCGGGATTCCAAGCCCGGCGGGTAGTATCCAACCTAGTAACTCGGGAATATCAACTTGGTTACTTCATATAGGATCGCAATGTCCGTTTCTTTCTCAAGCTTTCTTTCTTTCTCTTTTCTTCCGAAAGGACATAGTCCTAACGGGCCTCCAAACCTCAAACTTCTCACAATACTTATATATAGATATAACTTATGCATTTCTTTCTCATGCAACAATTTATCTTATGCAAGTTCATGCACATAGTTTCTCAACAACTTCTCTTTTCTCACAAATTGGAAATCATACTTCATGCAAACTTCTCAATGTAAGTAGATAATGATTTTCCAAAATAGATATAGATTTTTGATAGAAAACTTAGGCTTACTAAGAGCTAATGATGCACTATAAACCATGAAATACTAGTCATGCTCTTTTACTGTAAACTACTCTCTATTTCTCTTTCACTATGAATCAAGGCAATAAGGTACCATTTCATGCTTATAACTCAACACTTAGCAAAACTTCTTAGCAAATACTGCAACACCCCGTGTTACGACCCCTAACCCTAACTAAATATTTAATCACTTACCCAAAAAAAAAGAGAATTAAAAACCCATTAATCAACTAAGAAAGGTCCACCATAGTCCATGGGCCCACATCCCTATAACCAACTCCTTAGTCCTATAAGGAATAGAATTAGCAAGCCCATAGTATTTAGACCCCAATTAGGACTCTTAGGAATATATATATATATATATATATATATATATATATATATATAT